CGGGTACAAACCAGTATGCGTAACATCAGTAAAAGACTCTCCGCTGGCATCAGCGCAGGAGAACACGGAAATGGTGTCATTGTTGGTGCCAAACTTGTTGTCCTCGCGGTTGCTAATCACAATATGGTTATTGGCAGGCTGTTCCATGACAAGTGTTAGCTTATGTTCTGTTGATATATTCAGTTGCAAGGAAGAGACCCACCGAGATCGCGATTTCAGCAGCGGTAGCCCCGTCTGGCAGTTCCGGACCACCATACGTGGTAGTCTCGAAGAACTTGTCAAAGGAGATCGTTCCGTTCGTGGGATACTGAACTTTGTATCCCGTCAAATGGCTGTTGAGCTCCGATGTCAAATAGAATCGTGTATCGATGGCTCTACCTGGACGTGCACCCTTGGGCGTCCAGAATACGCCGTGTCTGGGACCAGAGCCTGGAGACACTGCCAAAGGCGTCTGCGGTTCCAACAAGCCCGTCGAAGGGTTGATGCGGAAAATGCGCACGAGGTCGCTCCCAGATCGGGAACCAAAATGAATTGACCTGTCGGGTCCAGCACTACACCGTGGGGGTGTGGTGCCTCCTGTCGGTCGGGATCTGTGCCCGGACCATCTAGCTCATATGTGAAGGTCTGGCGATGGGTAAAGACGCCATTGGTGTTAAGGGCATATGCTGTCACCGATGATCCCGAGCTACACAGGGCGTTAGGCATTAGGGCATAGTTCGGGGGCACGGTTGATTTTGGGTCCTTACTAGTGGGCTACAGCAAAGAAGGTGCGATTTCCCGCAGAATACAGGTGTGATTGAACGGGGCCTAGCACCGTCTCCAGATGATGAATCTTGGACAGCGATCCATCGGAGTCGACTTCGAAGGAAGTCAATGTGCCATTCGGTCCATTGAGGCCCTCGTCGAGGCAGACCAGGAGGTTTTTGTCGGCATCCAGCATCAGCCAAGAAGGATTGGGGCCGCAGTCAGTCGTGTTTGAGATGGTCGTCAATTCATAACCTGAGTCGGACCTGCCGAACTCCAGTGTGGTAACTGCGCCCGCATATGACGCGGTATAAACCTTAGACGCAGTGGAAGATGCTCCAAATAGAGCGGCGGTAAGATAAAGACCCTTCATTTTGATAATTCCCCTAATTTACACGTCGACCAACAGGTATGGCAGCAAAAGCTGGTAGATAAAGTGCTCCCACAAGAGTCGTGGTTGGGGTTGCTTTTTAAGCTGGCCGCCCACATTACGCGGGGGATCGCCCAGTCTCCGGTAAAAATGCCGGGAGAAATGCCACGTCGGTACAACCTCAACCACACCACCGTCCGGAATGCTGTCCTGCAATTTCGGACTGGCGGATGCTGACTTTCCCGGTCATTTACCCAAAGGACCGCTCTTGATCACTAGATGATATAATTCTCATTGAAAGTCTCAGATGGCTTGGCTTTATTGGCTACGTTTGGTTGTCTGATTCTGCAGGATCCGAAATACAGTGCTTGGCTGCGTGCTTAGCGTCGCCCAGGAGACCACAATGTCCTTCCCCATTCTGTGGGGCAAACCGAAGGGGATAATTTGCCGCGATTCACTGCGGGGGTCGACCCCAGTGAGCCCAATTACTGAGACCCTTGCTGAGCCATTGTAGAGTAGGTAGTAATGCTAACAGGGCCCGATTAACTCACCATGTAACGTAACATGGTACCGGTCCCTCGTTGAGGCATCCGGTCGATAGCTTGGGTGTAGAGTTACTACTGTACTCGGGATGAATAGGCCAGTGATCCATGAACGAGTCTCATCTTGACGAATTGCTCTTGAGTGTTGCTTCTTAAAATGGTATGGTTCGAATTCATTGCCGGCGGGCTACCTAAGGAGATGTGTTCGATGTGGAGCGGCGTTTCTCCACCGCCCGACCTTCCATCACGTCCTGATTCGCTGTGCCTGAGATGGAAAGTATATAAAATAAACATTGAGTTGTACCAGTGGTACCAGATGTGGTACTCCGCATGCACTTCGGAAAAGTATGAACTTGGCCAATTCTCGGCATGCCGCAACTTCGGTTCCTGGCAGCAGACAGGGCACTGATATCTTGGGGGCAATATTGACTGGGGTCTGCCTCATTGTACAAGTGGTCAATTAGCCAACCAGGGCTGACCAGCGCAAACCAGACTCTCTATCTGATACTAGCCCTTGGTCTCATTCGCAATGTTCGGCATCCTGTCACTTGAGCTCCTTGTCCGATTTGTACTAGTAAGTGCTGTCTCAAATTATGCTTCGTTAGGCGACGAGATACCAAGCGGCTAGTTCTTCGAATTCCCGAGAAAGCTCCTTGTCAAAAACGGAACTCCACTTTAACCGTAGTATTAGTGTTAGCGTGACAGCGACATAGGATCTGTTCATTCGTAACCAATTCTTAGGGTCTGTGTATGAGTAGGAAAATTGTGTACACCAAATTTGAGACAAAGTGTCTTCCCCGTCAGGACATACTGAAGTGATAGATCACTAACAGAATCGCCTGGGGGATGGAATCCTATCGTGGCGGCTAATATCGCGCCTCTGAAACATGCATCCAGGTCGCAGTTGGTGGCCGTTTGTGGGGAGGAAAAATTCACCTTCCCGGCGACGTTTCATTTCCCCTGGATTATTTATGATACCTTTTCCAAGGGACATACCGTTCAATGCTATAACGATGTGTATGGACTCTTTTAGAAATCGCATTATAGCTCCATTGGCCACATTAAAGCATCGACCTTGGCCACTGTCACAGGCGATCGCCCCACGACTTGATGTAAATCAACGTTTCGAGGAGGAAAATACCCCAAATTATGACCCGGCCCGCTTTTACCCAGCCAAGATCGGCAGCGTTCTCAACTACAGGTACCAAATAGTCACAAAAATTGGCTAAGGCACTAGTTCAACTATCTGGCTTGCTCGGGATCTGAATCAGTTTGGCCCTCCCAACTCATTTGACTTAGCTGTTATTGATTGAACTAGGTGGCGCTGCTCCAGGAATAAATATGTCGCGATCAAGATAAACGCTAGCTGGCACCATTCACGAGAGGATGCCGCCCAAAATGAGCTGGATATCTTGAGACATATCTCCACAAAAAATCCCCAGCACAAGGTTGGCACTTTAACAGACACCTCCTTGATGCATTTACTTTAGAATGTTGTTCGAGGACACATCTTGCTCTTATCTTTGAGCCATTGCGGGGGCCCCTTTGGATCTACAGACAGAGATATATTGGGGATGTGATACCCTCTAGTATACTGAAGGTTATTGTCTAGATGATTTATCCAAGCGCTGGATGATCTTCACTCAGAGTGTCACATTATTCGCACAGGTACGTTTCTCAACAGAGACACCCACAATAGGATGAGCTAATACTAGATATAATCAGATCTAAAGCCAGACACTGTAACGGTCAAGATAGAAGGCCTATCTATTCTAGACGAATCTGCCAAAGACGAATACTAAAATCCCCTGCGAAAAAAAGTTTGCTCCGATGGTCGCACCATATACCTGTCTCGAAACAATTATGGAATGTCCCAAAAGGACTACTGGTATAATTACAATCACTGACTTTGATCTTTCCGTTTACGGTGATAGACCAAACAGTGGGTACATCCAAGCAGAGATCTATCATGCTCCAGAGGTCATTTTAGATGCTGGGTTTTCATACAGCGCTGATATATGGAGCCTAGGTGTTATAGTACGTTTTCATGTGTCTGATGTGTTTCCTTCAAATAGCCGACTAATATCAAATGGTCAGTTGTGGGATCTGCTTCAAGGAAAGAAGCTATTTAAGGATGTTGATCCTGTCCACGCCCAAGAATATAATGGGCCAGGCCATCTCTCGCATATCACTGCGCTTCTGGGTCCTCCTCAAAAATTTTTTGGGCGATGGAAAAAGAACTGAGCTTTTCTATACGTCTGATGGTAAGTGCACTCTTTCCTGCTTCGCGTCTTTGCATTAGTTTACCGACTCTATCGAACAGGAAGTCTCAAAGACCCAATCCTCTTTCCGACAGACTTTAACTTCCAGAGCTTGCTCAAAAACATACATGGCGACGACAAGACGATGTTTATCGAATTTGTCAAAAGGATGATCAAATGGCGGCCGGAAGAACGGAGTACAGCAAAAGAACTGCTTCAAGACCCTTGGCTTGCGGCGGAATATGACGAGAGCTGAACCGTCTCTCAAAGAAGATTCCTCCTATGTTCCACGCTTGTACGCTCGTCTTTGTTTCCAGTGCTATAATTGTTTTTCACGACTTTGTGCTGAAGCAATACGCTTACTTGAAAGTCAATTCAGGCTTGGAGCAGCATGCATTTGGAGATCGATATGGAACCTGGAGACGCAGTCATTTGTCTTTCGGCTGTCTTGTGCAGTAGGAAAGCAGTACTAAGCATGGGGAGATACTTGCACTTTTTCTAAACTGCTGCGGTGACAGTCGAGCATAGAGTTCCTGATGGGCCGCTGGTTCTTTGGGCAGCGAGCAAGGCGACATTCGACCATCGTTGTCGTTGGGGTTTGTCTACCGGGTGCCCCTGAGTGAAGGTTTAACACCAGATCGATATAGTCGAGAAGCGTCATGCTTCTTCAAAGATAATATGCCCAGATCTCTGATAGAAGAACAGGGGAACGGGGGGAAACCCCCACAAGCATATTACTGGGGAACACAACATGAATGCCGGGGTTCAGCCAGCCATTGAAGAGCTAGGCAAGGGGGCTAGCCAGTCCTGTATCCGTATCATTCCTGTAGATGTACATCATATAGCATAGATACATATTCCCATCTTCATTTAGTAGCGATCTCCTCCCTGGCGAGAACATTGCAATGTGCACTCCCTTGCGTCATTCCTGAAAAACCCCAACATCTTCAATATTGGGAAGGCACTGTTTGCAGAATGCGTCAATATATTCCATATTTTCCTTGTATATCTATGTTCTAGGCATTAATAAACTAGCCATCATAACATTATTTTGTTGGGATAGGTCAAGGTAGAAGTGCGAGCTAGTCTTCTGGTTGAACGAGTTAAACATCGTTGAACACGGAAGGAACGCAAGTATCCAACAAAAACTTTGAACTCAGCCCAAGAATGGTAGATCAAAAGCCTCGCATACTTCCAGTCAGACGACAAATTAAACAGTGTGATTAGGAAATATGCGAGTTTCCTGCGGGGTTGTTTAAATATTCTGGAATATCACGCTGGGCGATCTAGTTCGATACATCATTGTAAGGATAGTAGCAGCTTTCATATCATCTTAGCACCGTCGTGTCAGGCAAGAAAGATCATTCTAACTAAGACGCTTGATTCCTCATCTAACTAATCAGACCAGACAGATCAACTAGTATCCGCACCGGGACAAGGCTGGGCAGCATATCATATTTAGAAAGCGTATATAAATTCCAGACACAGGCGCAACTCCAGTAACAATAGCTAGTAGTGTGATAACCAAGACAACACTGTGTACAAGACTCCATCAATAGTTTTGGATCGTTGGTGGAAATCTGTCACTCGGATTGATGGTGAACAAGATGAAAGGCTGGTCAAAAATTAAGATATTGAGTCTGCTTTAAAATTGTTTCGCCACCCCAATCACGTCGAAAATTTATTATACCCCTTGGCGAGTAGGCGATGAGCCGTCCCAAGGCTCGGGGTTGCTGAATTGACTGGATCCTCCACTAGCAGGACCAGCAGGCGAAGCGCCATCCCATGCGTTAGAGCCTTGCCCAAATTGGTTACCACAACCACAACTAGGCGAGGCGCCATCCCATGCTCCTGATTGCCCGCGGCCGCCAACAGGAGCAGAGCCATCCCAGGCGCCAGACTGCCCAGACTG